GCGCATTAATGGCCACATCGGAGAAAAATGGCCGGGAGAAGTACTGGTGGTTTGAATGAAAATTCTGAATGGCACTGGCTAGGTCTAGGTCTATTGTCAAGTGTGCCCTTTTAGAAAATTGTTGTTCTGTATCGGAATGCCGCATTTTGCAACTTCCCTTCACTCGTAAAGAATATGGTGGTCCTCGTGGGATACCCCCCCTGCCAGGTCCTTAAAAAACTGGAGGGAGGTGGTACCTCCAGGGCATGAGACGATAGTCCAGTTATTTTCTCTCTTGCATGGGAGGTGGTACCTCCGGGGCATGAGACGATAGTCCAGTTATTTTCTCTCTTGCATGGATGTGAAGGCGGTCTGCATTTTTTTGGACCAGACGCCGTTTGGGACAGGGGGCGTCTTCGAAATGGAAGAGGCAGTGGAGCGGGGGAGGGCAACAGCCTTACGAGGAAGGGTCCCACATGGACTTACGGACACCTTCGGGTCACTGCAGTTCGTGACTTCGGATTACTTGGATAGTGGCAACAACAGCAGTAGCACGCCACATGCAAACCGCGGGAGCGCGAGCGGCCGACTTCTCTCTCTCTAACTCTGTGTGTGTGTGTATCAACATGCGTCATCCTTCGGCAGGGGCCATGCAGCCTTGCCTCACTGTTCGCGACATTGAAAGACAAAAACTATGGAGGTGTAGCTCTCCATGTTCTAGCAAATATAATATCTCATTCATTAGAGGATTATCATTACAATAGGCCTCGCTCCACTGGCCCGAAGCGTTGTTTAGGGCCTTGCTCCGTTGTTATGCGGGTGTACATGTTCAGACTCACCGATTTGTCCTGCTGCTGTGCAGGTAAGCGTGGTAAAAGTTATTTTCCTGCTTTTTATATTTTTGTTCATGTTCCAACCATCTCTATTTTCTGCTTTTTCTCTCTCATTTTTCAGAACTTGGCAACAGAAACAACAATCGTGCATGTTTGCATCATCGTTGAACTTTGAAATGCATTTCTCTTTTTCGCAACAAACACAGCCAACCACACCACCCATCATCGACCTTTGTTCGGCTTCCTGCTCTTGCTCTCTGCCTGTTTCCTGCCTCATTTCTCCTCCCTCCTACTCCTCCCACCTCCAAACTGTTCTCCACCTCGCTCGTTTTTCCTCCAGCCCTTCCTGCGTCGCGTTGCTGCAGTGGGTCCACCTGTGGTCTCCAGATTTCATGCATTCCCAGATTTCAGGCATTCCCTATCCCTAGTCCTATTAAAGGATAATCAGGTCGTCGCCGGAGCGTCGCAGCATGGGCCGCAATGGCCATTTCTTTTTTTCTTTTCCTGCGTCAGTTTGGGTCCCTGGCCGTTTGTTTTTCGTTGGTCCCGCTATGCAAAAGTTCTCACGTGCGGGGTCCTTGTTTCATGGAGGTGTTTCGGGACAGGATGAATGGCACGGGTGGGGGATGACTGTAGTGTTTGAATACAAGTACATGGTAGGCAGGCGGGGTGGGATGAGGAGCAAGAGTATGATGCATGAAGAGAAAGAGAAGCCGGAGCGGGATACGACAGCCTAGCAATAGGTGCGCAGCGCAGTGCTGGTCTGGTTGTGTACACAGTCAGCAGACAAGAAGGAGCCTAAATCGATGGACTCGAAAGAGCACATTGCATACTTGAGCAGTACGAATCCGTCGGCGGTCGGGTGAGACTAACTAAGCAGTCGTTGGCTGCTTCGACATCTACCGACTTCGTACCCTTTGGAAATCAATTAAATTATGCCTGAGAGAAAGGTCTGGCCAGAGTGAGTAGACTACAGCGAAGAGGAGAGGAGGAGGAGTGCAGTGAGGAGGGAGAGGATGCAGCACGAGTAGGAGGGACGGGAGGAGGAAGGACGTGGGACCTCGAGAATGGGTAAGGATGAGGAGGGGGGAACGATCAACAGGAACAGGAGCAGCGTGGTGAGGAAGGAGGGAGAGAACACAACATGAGTGGCCCAGAGTGGGAAAAGGAACGGGAGGAGAAAGAGCGTGTTTGCCATCCGCATGTTTTTTTTTTTTTTAATCCTCATGTTTTTGTTTTTTTTTAATCCTCATGTTTCTAATTTAAAATGTATATACTTATCCCTCCAGGAGATGAAAGCAGGGTGGGATGACGAGTGGGAGTAGGGAAAGATGAGGTGGGGAGGACAATAAACACTAACACGAACACGAAAAGGAAGAGATGAGGATGGGGTGCCGAACGCGAACGGGAAGAGATGAGGAGGGGTGACAAACCGTGTCTCTTTCTTTCTTCGCATGCCCTAGTGGGATATTCATTCCCATTACTCGCCACATCATGGTCCACATACACAAAAGACAAAAATTATGGCAGTGTATCTCCCCATGTTCTAGCTGAAAATGCATTTTCATTTTGCACATTTGGTTAGTGGTGGAGCAAAGGCCAGCGAATGGTAGAAGAGCCATGAGGAGGAGTGGGAGATGAAGCCGCGGGATGACGACGGGTGTGGGACGGAAGTAGCAGTAGTAAGATACCGCAGGACAACAAACAGGAGGCAACCAGTGGCAGGAAAAAGAGTGGAAGGAGGGGGAGGACTCCGAGCGGGAACACAAGGAAGACAAGTGGACGAGCGCAAGGCGCAGCAGAACGAAAGACAAATTAAAGCAGTGTACCTCCCCATGAGCTCCAGGAGGAGGAGCAGTGTACCTTCCCATGAGCTCCAGGAGGAGGAGCAGTGCACGTTTGGCGAGTATACTGGAGCGAAGATCAGTGAAT